ACTTTGTTCGCCACTATCCGGAAGGGAAGAGTGGACAAAAAGTTAGTCCGTGCGGATGCACTCAAGCTTGTGAAACATAGCTTGTCAGCATTCGCTGGAGATGTCGGTCGCGTCGCTTTCGAATCGTGTCGTTTCTGGCTGTGAACCATCATGCCCATCTGGATCTCATATCCAAGGGGTTTACTGGGTGCAACACTCATAGAATGCCCTCGGCCAAATCTCTGCCGAGTCCCTGGCAGGACATCCAGGACAAAGACGGTCGCGGTCTCGGCTGGCCAAAGGTTTGGGATAGGTTTGGTGCCACAGGATCGTGTTTGTGTGTGATGTCGGCGCAACCAGGTTGAGCCTGCCAACATACCTCATCAGCAGACGTCATCGGGGTCAACGAATAGGGTGGTCGGGCTTGGCATGAGAGCTTTGCAACCTTTTTCGTTCCCTCAGGCAAAGCTGCCCTAATGCAGCCGTCACAAAAGAAAGAAACGTGCCCCACTGTGTAAGCATAGTCGCCTTTGGTATGGAAACAACGGTCTGTCGACCCGCACCAGGTGCTCCATTCGTTGACCCGGCAGGCGTGCATGTGTCTTCCCAACGTCTCCACGTTTAAGGTTGCACGGCTTTGATGTTCGCTGCTCGCTGCGGCCACACGGAGTGCGTGAAGGAGCTTTTGGAAAGAGGCGTGGACAAGGCTGGCGAAGTGGGGAACTTGTCACTTTGAGGGAATCGCAGAACCCAACACATCCGTTCGCCCGCGGCTCATGGAGACCTCCACAGGGTGCACTTACCACGACTATGAAATTGTAGGTTTCCTTACAACATCTTACAACGACAAGGTTATATCCTGACTGACAAGGTAGACAGCGCTCATTTTCAAGGGGCCCTTCTCAAATTCATCAATGAAGATCGCGTGGACGATGAGAGGTTTAATTTTCTTGAGCCCCTGCATAATCTAAAGATATCTTGTTCTGGTACTGTCACAGCTTTTTTTGTCAGCTCGCTGTCCTCGGGGATGGGAAGCTTCGGTCTAAGTTTCTAGTGCGGACGATGCTTTTTCTGGTTGTGGGCTGGTTGTGAAAGCCATCCAAAGACAACACCCCCGCCTCCTCGCAAAGAGCTGCTGGTTCAGAGACCTCAGGACCCCGAAGCCGGTGTCAGGTTCTCCTCTGACTCGCCGGCACCCGGGCACCGACACAAGCGAGTCACGTTTTTGATGCTTGTGTGGCCGAATTCCTGACTCCCTGCGCCAATGCTCAAGGGGGGGCATGGACGCAAGGGAGTCACTTCTTTCATGCTTTTGGGGCCGAACACTCCGAACCCGCACCGGTGCTCAGGGCCGCACAGACGCAAGGGAATTGCAAACACCGAATTCTGGTGCACTCGGGCCTGGGATAGTCTCATCATTCAGCGGCTTTTAGTTCAAAGCTGCGCCCACGTGTCGCTGCACAGGATGCCGAGAGCACTGACGGCCGCAGCCTCGGGTGGCGTTGATGCTCAAGGGCAAAGGCGACGGCCTTCGTCTCACAGTGAGACTGCTTTCAAGCCAACCCCCCTTCGGAGGGTGGCGGTACTTTGCGTGATTTTTTCCATTTTGTTTTGTATTTTTCTTCCGGCAGGCTCGCAAGCAAGCAAGCAAGCCATTGACGATTATCGCAGCGTCTAGCTGGGAATAAATTCGGCTAAGGCGATACGGTCAGCGTTTAAGACTAAGAGGGGACTCGTGGTCTAACACATGGCAATGTCCCCAATGGGGGCTATGCGGCAAGCGATTTCCGTTGGCGTGGAAGTGTATGTCGTCACAAGCTTCTGGACAGCGTCTAAGAGGGGATTTCAGTTGTTGAGACACACGCAGGCCATGCCGCTGGGACAAGTGCATGCACGTCGTCCCATGAGGTTTGGCAGGTTCTGATCTTGAAATCGTACCTGAAAACTACATGTTCTGACCTCTGCGTCCCCAATCAGGGCTGGGATTTGCAGTGTCTTGCACTGCCTTCAGCAATGCACGGCGTCCAGAGGATGCTCCTTTAACCAACGTCCAATGCACTGCGTTTCGCGGGCCGGTGTATGATGCACCGTAATCGCCAAAGGTGTACGTATACGCTGAACCGGAATCGCCACACGAGGGGTGTGTTTAAGAGAGAGAGAGAGAGAGAGATATATATATATATATATATATATATATAGCATGATTTAGTGCCCCCGGTGTGATTTGGGCACCATGTATCTGTCATGGTATTACATGTAGGTGTGTCTGTGTGTGGGTATGCAATGATCGTCATCATCATCACCCTCATCATCAACAACAACAGCATGATTATTTGCATCATCGGAATCATCATTACCCCATCATCATCAGCATTGTCATCACCACATTCTCATGAGGATGATGACAGCTTCTGCTATGGGCTTTTCACGTCTCACAGGAGATTGCAGCCATTGCTTGCAATTGCGAAAGCTTCCACAAGAACCCCCATATGGACTTTCATAGCATCCCCCAACGTTGGTTTGCAGCATGTGCTCAGCCACTTTAATTACCATGCAACTTCTGCTTCTTCTGCAGTTGGTCTTTGAGGTTGACGGTGCACGCTTTGGACCACTTGCTTCGGCACCACAGCTTAAACCGGCTGATCTCCGATTCGGCATCCTTTGAAGGAATACCAGTCGCCAAATCTCTGAAACCTTTCGCATGGTTGCATGCAGACGAAGAAAGGTTGAGCTCCTCAGCAGCTTTCTGTGTAGATAGCCAGCCATCTGAAGCAACAATGCTTGCCGATGACGTTCTTCAAACTTGTCTTGCCTCGTGGTTTCTTCGACGGAGCTGCCTCAGGATGGGGAAGTATCTCGAGTGCAACCCTCTCGGTTCCCTAACCATGCGTCTTCACTTGTTTCTTGCCACACTCCACGCCCACCCAAAGCCATCTGGTGCTCTTGCGCTTGTCCAAGGCGGTCCCAGCATTTCTCTTGGGATGCGGTTTTGTGGCAGGATGCCATACGGGTTTGCACGGCCTTCTAGCAACGATTCTCGCAGGCCTTTTCATGATGCGACCAGCTTTCATAGCCTGCTTGCCAACCATCCAACCGACCTTGCCGATACCACTCTCGTCAACGACAACATGTTCTCCAGGACCTCCAATTCTATATATAGATTGCTTTTGCGTCAACGTATGCACTTAGAGCATCATGATTTTTCTGCTTCCAGACGTGTTGTTCTTCATCATGACAAGAAAGTGTAAAAAGGACATCCAATTCCCAGTTCTCAGCAAAGGCAAAGCTGGTACTTCTGCAGACTTCCGGAAATGTTTGTGACTCTGATTGCGGCTACATGCCCAAAGACTCTCTGTCACGGAACGACCTTGTCGCAGCACTGCTGATGCCTTGCATGTGGAGCACTTCCAGGTTCGAAGCCAACCAAAGTGCATGTAGACGCATGCTGCTCTCAAGGATTGTGAATCAGCTAGCTAGGTCACCCGTGTCAAGTTTGCCATACAGGATATGCTTCTGGAATGCAGATGAAGATGCAAACCAGTCCTCCTTAACACCTTTGCGAAAGGAGATGAGGTCCTTGGCTTTATTATGAGAGTTCTAATTTTCCTTGGAGGCACCCTGAGCCAGATTCGATTGTATTAAATGAACATCATGTTCAGCAATGTCAGGAGCCCCGGTAAACCACCAGAAGGTGTGGCACTAAGAAATACTATACCCATATATATATATATATTTTTTTTTCATATTTATATTTATATTTATATTTATGTTTATGTTTATATTCATATTTATATTTATATTTATATTTATATTTATATTATATTATATATATGGTGCCCCCCCAGCCCACGTCCCTACCCTTTTTTATGCTTTCCGGCTCAATACATATACATATACATATATACATATATACATATATACATATATACATGTATGATGCACCGGAATCGCTACGTGAGTGGGCGTGTTCAATGTTTAAGATATATGATGACTTTCCGATGAACCGGAATCACCAGATGAGGGGGCCTGTTTAAGATATATGAGGAACTGGAATCGCATAATGGGATGGGGCGTGTGTAAGACGCATGTTGAGCCGGCATCGCCATATGGTGTTTAGAGATATGATGAACCGGAATCGCCAAATGAGGGCGCGCGTTTAACATGTATGATGACCTGATGAGGGGGGGGTAAGATTTATGATGAATCGGAATCGCCCCGTTGGGGAGCGGCATGTTTAAGATATATGCTGAACCGGAGTCGCCCAATCAAGGGGCGTGTTTGGGATATATGATGATCCGGAGATGCCAAAGGAATTGGACGGGTTGAAGATATATGAAGTACCGAAATCTCATTGGATCCTTAAGTTGCCGGATCGTCATCAAAGCCTGGAGCTGCCCCAACCCAAACGAATTCCTGCGGGTTAAACCGTGAACCGAGCTGCACCGAGTTTAGATCCCTAAACAGTGCTCTCCCACTACACACGGGCCACTCTGTCAAAATACTTACTTTTAGTAGGGGAAACAGCATACACGAGGAACGCGGAAACACTACAACCAAACACAGAAAAACGCGGAACTAATCTGGTGACCCCGGTCCGCTACCCATTGGCATCTGCAACTAGAAGGGGAGATGTCCCGAAATCTTTCGAGAGGGAAGCTATCAATGTTTTCAATGTCCTCGTCAGTATGAACGTTGCTTTTCGTTCACTATTGCATCGTTGCATGCATGACCCTGCACGTCCACCGAGAGGCTCACCGAAAGAGTTGGTAATCCTACAGAGCAGAAATCCATGGCGGCTGGAGGGTTGGAGATTGGTTGGGATTCAGGGTTTACGGCAGTTTAGGTCGTAGAGATCAGGCGAATAAAAAGCAGCAACATTACCACACCAACAGCATGAGCAGCATAATCTTTAGCCGTTAACCCCAGCAGCGAAGTAGCAACGACAGGAACAACCAGAGCAACCACGGCATTCGTTCTACGGATGAAGCTGAAGCACCCTGGCCCATCAATACGAGTCTGAGGCTTGACTCCCATCAAGGCCGCCGGCACGAGGGGCCACGTGGAGATCGTCAAGCTGCTGGCAGAAAGTATGGAGAAGGCAGGAGAGCGGCTGTGGGCATGGTTTGCGAGTTTCTGGTTCATACTTGTGTCAAAACTGTAATTGCCCATTTGCGACCCTCGTTGATGAATCGGGCTTGGGGGCCCAGCGCCTGGTTGGGCGGAGAGGAAAGTGGGCCTAATCAGCGGCGTGTCCCTGCACAGGATGCCCGGGACAAGGACGGCCGCAGCCTCGGGGGCCTTTTGACACGAAAGGGGAAGCACCTGCTTCGGGATGAGTCTTCCTTCTACGATGGCTGCTCACGAGCGTCAACAGCGATAAGGAGAGATATCACGAAAACGTTGGAGACGGAACCCATCCATTTCAGCTGCGTTCTCATTAGGATGAGTGTTTGTGTTGTTTCTCTTTCTCAGTGTAGTCTTTCAAATCAGCAAAACCGGATGTCGTCGTTTCATCATTAGGGAAGTTTAGGCTGGAGCCGATCAAAAGGCACAATAAGAACATCTAAAGTTGAGCGCATAACACCATGCGCAACCCCAGCATGAGCCACAGCAGTACTAGCAGCAACCGAAAACCGAGAACAAGAGCAACAACAGCGACAGCAGCAGGAACCACAGCCGCAGCGGCAGCAGAAGCAGAACAACAACGCCAACATGCCACACATGTTTGAGAATGAACCCCTCTTCTTCCCCTCCCCCGCACCCACCGGGCCGGATTCTGGTTCCCATGTTCTCGGTTTAGGGTTTAGGGTGCGATTCTTCTTGCAAATACTCACAAGTTTGACATCCTACATTCCCCATGGTGCAGACCTTGGAGCCTCGTCAATCCTGCGCAAAGCTTGCGGGTTCTTGTGGGAGATCCGCCGGCACCATTCATCCGTTTGATGCACCGCTTTCGTGTGTAAATATTGTCCCAAAGAAGCCACCTAATGATAGCTTCTATGCGTGCACACCAAACAATGCATGAGGATCCTCGCCACTAACAGTGCAGGGTATCTTCAGCCAGAAACCTATACAACATAGACTCTATAGCCAGTATAGAGGATGTTTCCGAAGGGGTGCCGGATGTGTCAAGCCCGGAATCGCATCGGCCGCAGTGCCTGACATCGTCGTCACAGCACAGCGCCATCGAACAGCCCTGTTTCAGAATGTCTGTGCTCTCGGAAATTATGTTTCCGAATCAAAGGCTGGACAGCCTGGGCGGCTCCTTTCTACACTGCCTACATCACCGGCTACGCAGAAACCAAGCAGAAGTATCCATCGAGGATTGAGACGGCCGCGGCCCTGCGAGTCGATGCAGTTTTGGCCGCCGTACAGGGCAGAATTAGGAGCAGATGCTGACCTCAGCGAGAGCCGAGCGAAGCTCTGCAAAATCCGAGGCATGACGGCGCTGGATTTGGCGAGATGAGAAACTCACGTCGGATGCGTGAGGCTTCTGAGCCCCGGCCTCGGTGTTGAGAACAGTCATTCTCCAACAACGAAACACGTCAGTTCCGAAGTACGAAAGATATAGAAGGGACTTCGAAGGTTTCACGACTGCATATATGTATCATCTAGCCAGTTGCATCAGGGCAGCTCATGTCTGAGGCCCAGACCCTATAAAATTTGGGATTCTGTGTTCGGGTGCCCAAGCTTCCGAAACTCCAGCGTGCTTCTTTGCATTGCTTTGCTTGAAGAACCGAGGCTGACAGAACTCCCGTGCCGCAACAGGGCCGGCCCAGTCCCGGGACCTCTTGGCCAGTGGAAAGTCCTTCACAGATATTTTGGTTATGTTTGTCTTGTTCGAGGCAGCGGCAGACGAACAGGCCTGCATTTTGCTAAACAGCGTTGTAATGCTTTCCGCTTTCCTGTCCGCTGCTCTCTTCGCTGGCCTCGGGCTGACGTTCGTTCTTTTTGGGATGCTTTGGCGAATAGTTCCATAGTTCTGCTCTTGCCAGCGCGGACGTGGCCACGTTTTCCTCTCCCCCTGCCCTTCTCGCATGCCTGAGGCTAGGCTTGAAGTTGATACATACCCTAAACCCGTAGAACTGGCTCAAAGCTCGGGCTGAGTCCCTTCTAGCTAGGACTTCCTGCAGGACCTTGTGGGTATTTGTGCTCGAGAATGATTCACAAGTTCTGGAGATTGGTGTTGATGTGCGTGCGCACAACCTGACAGTTGTTCCTGTTCTGAGCAAAGCTGTTGTCTCCGTGTATCGTAGTCCTCGATGGCAGTAAGGAGGGCCGTGGGCAGATATAGCTGGCACTCATCCGGAACCCTCTTCCGAGGGGCAGAGGGTTGTCCCCGAAATACACGGGAGCTTCCAGAGACTTGGCCTCCGAGCGCGAAGATCGACCTTTCGAGGTGAATAGAGTTACATCCACTCCGTAATGAGCGTTCCCCAGCGCTGACCTAAGGACATCAAAGAGACCTCAGAGGCATAGAGAGCCGCTTCATAAATCCAGGACTGCAGATTACAGGATCGCGAGACCTGCCGATTCATAAAGCCACACCATACAATCTGATATTCCATAATATACTAGTCCAGTACGGTATTTGAGAGTTGCACATATGATGCTTCAGAGGCCGAGGCCGATGTTCCCAATCTCCCAGCTGGCCAAGCGCGGCGAAGCCGTGCTGGAGGAGCACGAAGCACATGGCTGGAGATGCTTCTTCGTGCCGGGAGGGATTTGTCGAAGATGGGCTTTATGCCATGCCACAAGCCTCTTGCCCTTCCATGCTGGGGTCAGAGACTTGGAAGCCCGGATGCAGCAAAGATCGGGAGCAGGGCGAGGCGTCTTTGCGTGTTTTGTTTCCGGACCGGTAGTTCAGCAGATGCTATAGGCTCATGCAGCCTTAGCTCTTGTAGAAGGGTTGTTATAGACACGTTGGTTGTAGTATCCTGTTTCAGTTTACGAGGCGGCATTCAGGGTTTTGGGTTGAAGATTGAGTTGAGTGCATCTGACTGCAGCGCTTGCAGTGCTCTGATTGTTCTGTCGGGCAGGATCTTCCAATTCGCCATCAAAGGTCGAGGTTCAGAGCTAGTTACATTCGAACACATAGGGAGATGAGGGCCGTATGTCCACTTGATTTGCTGTGCTTCCGCCCTAGTCTGGACGTACCACCAGCTTGGAGCAGCGGCTGTGTCTAGCTTATTGCTCTGGCTTCTTGCATCCTGACATGCTCTTTAACTAGTAATGCGGATTTTAGACCACAGTTTTGGTGTCTGCACCGGCTGTTTTGAGAGCGCCTGTCCTTAGACTCTTTGGACTGAGGTAGAGGTGCAGCTGATTTTGTGGCTCTGAAGCTCAACCTTGGTACTTGCAAGAGAGTCAGTCTGACATGCCTGTGAGCACTTGTGGGATCGCTTCCTGCTGAAAAACCAGTGAAGAAATTACGTTTTAACAAAGCTGTCTCGACTTTCCATCCGGTGCTCTTCTGCGGGGATGTAGGGACGAGGCTGCTGGCGTCGATGAGGAGGATCGGAGCTGGCTGGGACTGGGCATTGGGATGTCGCTGTTCGGGGTGTGAGGATTTCTTTCAGAATGTACTGAGTTCCAAGGGAGTTTCGACACCTTGAATGGTCTGAAGTTCTGGGGTGGGCAACAGGGCTGGTTTATTCGGATGGAGGCATCAAATCAAATTTTGGAGCTGCAGAAGGAGCAAGGGGGGAGCCCAAAGTATTCCGTACTTAACACCCATGTTCTCAACACACCCCAACCCTGAACCCTGAACCGAGGTACCACGTTCAACAAGCAAAACCCTCGGTTTGGTTGGGATATCGGTTCCAAACTCCGCTCGCACCCTGTAACAGAGGGAAATCAACAGAAGGAGCCCTAAGAAAGTGGTCTTTCTTAGGGTTAGAGCCCAACCAGGGTTCAAGCTTTAAGAGTTGGGGCTTTCGGGTAGAAGGTTGAGGGTGTGCGGAGCTTTCCAGGTTTGGTTGCAGGTTTGCTTTGCAGGATTTAGGAGATTTAAGGTTTAGAACCTCGGGCTTAGGAAATCGGGCTTATCGGAAGGTCAGCGAGAGCGGAAGTTCTGCCCAAGTGCAAAAACATGCGCAAAGAGCTCGGAACCGTGTCCTCAAGCATGAAGCCGAGTTGTTAAACTCGAAATGAAAAGCCCTGTCATGCCTAGATCATCCGCAACACCAAACGACGGGACCTTTGAATCCTGAAGCCGTGCTGCTAAAGATCCTCGATCCCAAGCCCAGGAGCCATTCATTGGATTGGCCAAAACGAGAAGAAAGGCTCGGCTGGGTCAGTTTAGCCTGGACTTGGGGCATTAGGGTTCCCCAAAGGAATCCTTGAAGGTTCCTTAAAAAAGGATCTTTAAGGGTTTTTTTGGGACCCAGAAGCCCAGCCTGGCAGCCAGGGTAAGGGCCTGAAGATCGAGAGGCCACGCACCCTGAAAGCCTAAGCTCAGGTTGTTGAGTTCAGGGCATCCAGAAACTCAAGACAAAAAGGTATCTAGTACATGCTCCTGATGATCCTTCTTTGGGAGCAGAAATGCAACACTCAAAAAAGGGAGCGGGGGCTCAATAAACCATCGCGGAAGCATGCTCCAAGGTCGTCAGGAGTCTTCCATTTTCTGGGGCTTTTCAGGATCCCGAATGGTCCGCATCATCAAAATGAGACTTACCAAGACTTGGGCAGTCACGCTAAACCCAAAACCCTAAACCCAATAAACCCAAAACCCTAAACCCAGAGCTCTAAGCCCAAAACCCCACACCCTCAACCCCAAACCCTAAACTCGACATTCTTAGCCTCACAGAAAGGACCCAAAAGTCAACCCCCAAAAGCGGGAGTCGAAATCGAAAACGCTTCGATCCACTGAGGAGTTTGAGGCTTCAACTGAATCCGACAGCTTTGGGTTTTTAGGGTTTAGGGTTTGAGTAGAATCCGGTGTCTTTGGGTGCGGGTTTTGGTGAGGCGGTCAAGGTCGGGCCAGGGTTGCCGGACTTTTCCGGGTTTTGGACCACAGAGAGTCGTTAGGCTATTCCAAAAAGGCTGGAAGTCTTGAAGGCGAGTGGCCCGCCTTGAGCCCCAAGACCCTGAAATCCCAAACCCTACAGTCCCGATTGTTGTAAGTTTTTAAACCCTAAACCCAGAATCCAAACGGCTCCAAGGTTTCGATAGATCCCGAACCACAGCAAACCCAAGAGCCGGACCCAACACCCAAAACCAGGTCTTTCTGTCAAAAACACATTCAATGAATTCATAATGTGGAACACTGAAAGCTAGTTCTCATCCCCAAGCCCCAATCCCTAGTCCCTGCACCCCCTGTACCTAAACCCGAAATTCCTGTGGAGCTCGGCGGAGGTTCGAGCGAACCATCGGTTCCTGAGACAGCCGAAAGGGGCTGTTCCGAAGCTCTGCATCATCTCTGGGCTGAGGCTTGAGAGGGTTAGGGTGTGCTTAGGGTTCAGGGTGTTTGTAGAGGTTCAGGGTTTAGGGTTTCGGGGTTTGGCGCTTTAGGCTTTGGGGTCCAGGCAAGGTCCATAACCAAGTTTGTGCTACAGCATTGAGCATATGATCGTGGGGCTTGGGGTCTACAGGTCTCGGACTTAGGGGTTTGAGGTTGCCCCATGGTCAAGCCGAAGTGCACACAATTCAGCCTCGACTCTAACTGGAATGACGATGGCGGTGAAAAAGGGAGAGCGACCGAGCTACCTTCGAAGAATCCTGCCTTGTCGTCCTTCACAGGAATGGGCCTGTGCACCTTCAGGATGTCGTGCGTCTGGGATCCCGAGAAGATGGGAGGCTTTGTAGGATTTGTGGGTTAAGTCCCGAATAGTGGGAAGGAAGGTGTCGGGTCGGAGGCCCAGCCACGTTAAGCTGACGAAGCTTCAGCTTAAAAGGAGATGTTGTGGATAGGATACCCGGAAACCTTAAGAGCAGATGTTGGGGACAAGCCTTAAAGGTACGTTATGTTGGAAGGGAAGCCGCGAACCCAAGAAGGAGGATGTTAGATGGAACAAAGGAGACCCCCAAGAGACATCTTGGGTTGAGAATCTTCAGCCTGGCTGGCAGATCCTAGCACCCCAAAATGCGCTGTTTCCATTCGGCAGTGTTCGGCAATTTTCACTCGCCTGGCAGCATTTTGCTTATCAGTTGCACTCCGAAGCTGAGTGCACTCTTATTTATACTCATGCTCGCGGTGGGTGACCGCGTCCACATTCATGGCGAGGGCGGCCTGCACGCAACCAAGGCGACCGTGCTGGGAAGGTTACGATTCTTTTGCACCTGCTTTGGTCCAGGTTTCGGCTGCAGATCCCTTGCAAAGAGTCGAAGT